ATTAAAGGTTTTCCTTATTGCTTAAATCCTCATTAAAATTTACTGTATGTTTTGTAATGCTAAAAAAGTACAATTATTCCACATTGATATATAAATGTTATGACAAATTACAATAAGATATTTTCAATTGAAGCTGAAATGCTAACTTAAAATTTATTTTATTTAGTTACTAGAATTATGAAAAGTTTAGTTTATTAGTATTGGTATTGATTTTGTAAATCTTTTATTAAAAATTTTTCACAAATTCTATACATTTAAAAAGTGCAAAGTTTTTACTCTTATTCAACATGTAATGTAATTCTGAAATTTTTAAATAATTCTACAATTCAAGTAGCGTGATAGAAATTGCCAATAAATAACTTGAAAAGAAAATTATTTAAAAAAAACTACAAGAATTTAAAAATTCCAATAGGGATCTAATCGGCTGGCATATGGGTAATTAATTTTGAACCCGGACCAATTTCATATCTATGGCGTAATACCATTTACAGTAGTCTGATTCAAAAATAATCACCCATATTCTTAAACATTTTTTTATCTTGTCGCGATTTTGAAAACATAAACCCTGCTAAAATTCACATATACGAACTTGTTATTGTGGATGATAACTGATTTATCGTTAGGTTATTATATAAATCACGTGGCTTTTTCACGTAATTTATATTGTTCCCTACAAATAATCAGTTTTCATTACTACTTAACTGATTACATTTTTATCACTGACGTAAGCACCGTACATATTATTCCGCTTACTTTTCACTAAAAAAAGCATCCCCAAAAAATTTTAAATTTCATATCAAAATAGCGATAGGTCTGAACCAAAGATTAAGAGAATTTCCACTTATTACGTAAATATAGCCCCCTTCTGACATTACAAGTTCTAAAGTAATCATAATATAAACTCTATACGATTGGTTATTTTAGAGCTTGCAATTGTCAAACGATTGATTACTTTAGAACTTATAATTGTCAAATGACGAGTCGACCAGGGCGGTCCCCCAAAGTGCAGATACACAAGCCGCAGCTTATAATATAACAATTGATAAATACTTGTCGATTGTAATTTTATATTGTTATATATATGCTGCGGCTTGTGTATCTGCACTTTGAGGGCCGCCATGGTCGACTCGTCAAATGACTAACTCTGGAGGGGGCTATATTTACGTAATAAGTGAAATCTAGAAAATTTTTTCGGGGTGTGATAAAGAGGGATTTTCGGTTATTATTCATAACTATATTCAACTTACTTTTTTTGACTAAGTTATAGTTTGACTATATCATGATTCATTTAAGTCAAAAAAATAAGAATATACATACGTAAATTTACAATGATGTCATTACTTCTTATTTATATAAGAAACATAGGGAAAACCTAAAAATTTTACAAGCTTTCCTGGCAATACTTGTATTTGTAAATGCATACAACATTCCACACTCTAATACCTCAAAAAATCAATGTCTTCAGCTACTGTTATATCAAAAGAATAATGATCGGAATTGTAGAAGGTAATGAAGAAATTAATAGAAATTCAATCAATCTTATTTGGAAAGCAACCAGTTGTCACTGTTACTTTCAATAACCAATTATACTTGGCGACTATTTCCTTAGATAATTGCACCAATATTACCTCAATTTAGGAGCACCAAGAGTGATTCTTATAAGAGAAGATAATAAAAAGGAATTATGTGAATATTGTAGTTGTCCGTACAGTCAAACCCCTCTATAGTCACACCTTCGGGATACAAAAAACTGTGATTGTAAAGAGGTGTGACTAATATAGAGGTATTTTCTATATGATTATAAATAATTGGTAAAAATAAATTTGTAATTATACCAATTTTGTGACTATAGAGAAGGTGACTATAGAGGGGTTTGACTGTATGCAAATAGCAAGGTGACAGATGTCACATCCTCTTGTGTGATGGTCCTTGTGACAAAAATTTTCATACTAGATGTTTAAACCCTCCACTCACAAGAATACTAGCTGGAAATTGGTACTGTAAGAAATGTGAAAATGTGAATTCAAAGAAATTGAAACGTAAAGTGCGATTTGATTATTCTGATTCAGACGAAGTTGATAAAAATGCAAAAAAAAAATAAAAGATTGAAATCAAAAAGTAAAAAAAAATATAAACCACAACAGGATACTTCGCATTCTGACGATGAAGACAGCCAAAATATAAGGAAATTTTCAAAGAAAAAGACAACGAATCATAATAAAAAAAGCAAGACTTTATCAAATCATTTGGGTACATATTATCGTTATATGACGTTTGCCTAATTTATGTATATCATTAATACATAAATTTTTACTTAAAAGATGTGCAAAAAATCAACTCTGCATAATGATGGCTCTATTAATGACTCAATTGAAAATAGAGAGCCAAATTTTTATTAAATCAAAAAAATTTTTACCAGTAGAATTTCGTACAGATTACTCCAATCGACAAATACAGATAAAATAAATTAGAAAAAGAATTCATTTTAATATATAGCATAAAAAAACATAAAAAATGATTCTGTAACTTTGTTATTGGAACAGAAGAGTCAATTGGCATCAAAACTTTGCGCTAAAAAGGAAAGAAGGTACACAAATTTTACATATTTTATATATTATTTTGTGATTGAATATACTAATATTAATAAAAATTCTGAAAGCTTAATAGTAACTACATATCAATATAATTTTGATTGACAGGACACCCCAGAGTCACGTGTGTATTTCAGCACTGGTGGATGCTCTGTACAGTATTCAGAAATGTGCGTAGCACATTTTTTAAATTACGGCTCGAACCAATCTTAATTTGGGCCGTAATTTAAAACAGCGCTTAACTCCAGTTATCGCTATTTCAAGATTTTACAGTTAATTTAGGCTTTTTTTTTGAGCTTTAAGATTTTCGAAAAATTCAAACATGACGTATGGATTTAAATATTTCTGTCCACTATGGGCATTGTTTGATGAATGCTTGAACAAACGACACTAGCAAACAATCGTACACAAGCTGATGACATTGAATCTATTCAAGACAATGGTCATGTAAGAATTTTCAACTAGTCGATTAATAAATTTCAAAAATAAAATTATTTATATAGGTTATTGTCAACAAAATTTTGAAAGGAAGAAGGCTTTGATGTAAGTGATGAAGATTCGAAATAATGGTCAGATTGTGAAAAGTGCTATAGAAGAAATGTTTATAAAGATAGTAAATGAACTTGCTGGCTCCAATGAAAAATATAAAAATGCACCAAATTTTCAACTAAAGAATGTGAAACAATTCCATTAGTATTCTGGTTCCTTTCATATCTCAATTACAAAATTTCGAGTTAGAACCGATAATATACGAATTTCTTTCGCTATTCAGAATTATAATGTATTTGTATAGAAAATTCTTTTGGCATTAAAATTCATAATTTCTAAATTTATTTAATTGTAAGAAAAAAAAATTATATAAGATTGAAGATTTATAAACTATAGTTAATTTTTAACTTTACATGCTAAATAACTTTTGTTTTATCATTGATAGTTTCTTTTGAGCATCTTTGCTACCAGCATTAGCAGCCAATTCTAAATGACGTAAAGCAAATTTTTCATTTTCACCACATCCAATCCCATTTTCGTAGCAGCATCCTAAGTAATAATTGGCTTTCAAATAAATTTCATAAAACTTGCTTTTTGAAAGTTCATGAAAAATATACCACGCAGCTCTTAGACTTTCGTCGTGTTTGTTGTTGTATTCATGTATGCTTTTACAATTTTTGAATGCATCCTCAGCAGTATCAAAAAGCTTTTTTTCGATCATATGAACCTTTTCTCCAATGCGTTGAAATTCTGCGACCTTCCTAAGATCAACAATTGTTTTATTTGTAATATAATTCTTTTCCAGTTTATATAGTTTATTATAAATATCTACAATACTTTCATAGGCCATTAGTCTCGCGCAGCACTGGTGGAAAATATCAACGAATTTGAACCGTTACTTTTATATGCAAATGGTCAAATTAAATCAAAATGTGTTGAATTAAATTTATTTATTTTGTATAATTGTTCACTTTCTTACAATATAGTTATTTAAAAAAAGAATTGTATTTCAAGTTACATTGAATGTTCTAATTATAAAATAAATAAAAATAATTAAATTATTCAATATTTTTTTAAGTTTAAATGCAGCTTTTGTAAAAGGAAAAAATTTGGTTGAGCGAACAAAAATTGGTCTAAGGAATATTGCAGCCTTAAATGCATATATTGTAGACACAATATTTCTTTCTTTGTAATTTTGTTCATTGGTGAATTCTAAAAAAGTATAACAATTAAATTTATTTATTGAATATAATATTTTCAATTAATCAACGCGTAATTGTATTTGTATAGTATTTTTTTTTTCTTATATGCCCGTTGCATAAATTTGCACATGCTAAGAATATTTTTTTTGCATTATATTTGTTCTATTAAAGTCCCATTTATCCTGGGAAAAAATAGAAGAAAATATTTTTAGAGCAGATTTATGTACTACAGTATTCTGAATCCATCTAGTTTGTAGCTAGAATAACTATATTTATTTTTGTATAATAAATAAAATTCGCTGTAACAGTTAACAATGCAATTTAATTTCTAAATATTTAATTTTTAATGTTTTTAAAGAATTATAAATATAACATAAAAGTTGCAAAAAAAGGACAATTATCTTTAAAAATATGAATAGAAAAAAACCTTCAGGTAAAAGTTGGAATATGTCTAAATTAGATCTTGCGAAACGACTTTATAATGAAGGGAAATACAAATCGGCCTATGATCTATTTGAACTACTTGCCAAAAGCAAGAAAATTGTACTCATGAAGAGGGCATTGAAATATATGGCACTGCCATGTATTACATTGCACTTTGTAATTTATATGGGAACAGCACTGAAAAAAATGAGGTGTACGCTTTAAGTATCGCAGATTATCTTGGCCAAAAACAAAAATATAATGATGCTTTAAAAATTTATGATATATTATCTTCTAAGGCTGAAGGTGTTAAAATAAAATCAAAAGCTTCTCAAAAAATTAATGAATATCAAAAACATAAGCCTAATAAATAATTTAGCATTATAATTTTAATACTATTCAATTAGTAAGTCATATTTGAAATTTCTGAAGTGTTTTGTAAAGAGATGGCAGTTTTTAAGATAAGCCTTTACCAAGATACTTTCAAAAAAAGACAAGTTTCAAAACTGTTTATAAAGTTTTTGAGTAATTTATAAAAAGCAAAATAAATTAAAAGATTGCAAAAACAAACAGATAATTGCTACAAGATAATATTGGAGATTTTTAAGACCAAGATTCTATTTTATAGCTAATTGGTAAAGTAAAAAAATTCAAAATTGTGGTTCTACAAATTAATCGATACCATTCACTAGATTTGTACATAATTATAATAGCAATTAGATTTGTAATGATAAGAAAAATTTCAAAAATCACGTTCTCAAACTTTATATTAAATTTATTATCATTACTATTATTCTATTATTATACAGCAAAAATTACAGCCATCACCAAAATAGACTGTGAATTTAACAATAGATTAAATAACTGGATTTAATAAATTTGCTATCACTGGTTTTCTAGTAGGCTTAGGTTTGGGACCTCTTTTTTATTCGATTTAACATAAATGCATTCACGATTATGCCGCTTACAACTCGCGCATATTACCTCACCAGAACATTTTTCTTTTTTGTTTCGACAGCTAGTACACGCAAGTATTACGTAAGAAGAGTGTGTTTTCTCTGATTTAGCCTTGTTAAGTACATTGGATTGTGAGGTTTTCATATGCGATGTGAAGTACAGGTATGGATTGCAACGTGAATTAGAAATAGTATTCATCTTTTATCAGTTATTTTTTCAAATATTTATGCTCGTGATTGTTTTTGCTCTGAAAATGAGTTATATTTATATATTTTTTTTACAATGCTAAAAAAATCTCTTATAGCACAATACTGAATAAAATTCCCGATCATCGGGAAAATGTGATTTAGAACTTTCTATTGTCAACTTAAATAATCTAATAACTTTTTTTGACAACTATGTTAAAATAAGAACGAATTTTCTTCGCTATTCGTTCGTATGAATAGCTATACTTGATTGGCTAAAATATGGTCCTAATAAGCGAAGTCAAAGATGATTTATATGTTACAGTTGACAATACAGTATAGATTAAGAAAAAGGTTTTTATTTTTGCTTAGTCAAATATGGAAACTAAAAGGGGGAATACATGTACAATTTTAACATTAAGCTATCAAATCATGTGAATTATGCATATTAATATCGATTAAGTATACGTACGTATGAACACTATTTAAGTTAATTAGACACTATGTTGAATCGAGACTTTTGTTTTAAAATCTCTTAACAGATGCTGCAAGAAGAAAATAAAAAGTACAAAAATTTTAACTTTATTAGTATGTCGAATACCTAATTTAATACAGATCAATTTGAAATTATTTAGGTTAAAATTAAAATTTTCGAAATTGCAAAATACAAATGAAAAACTAGAAAATGCATTAATTCGAGCGAATTCGGAACTTGCAAATCTTCAATCAATTATTATTGAAAAATTTTTAATAATTTTTGTGAAAAAATTTTTAGAGACGAATCACAAAAACCTATAATTGAAAATTAATAAATCGGAAAAATAAAACAAGATTTTCTGATTTTAATTTTAAAAACCCCTATTATATTTACAAACTATATAATTTGGTTTGTAAATTTTTAATTGAAATTGTTTTTGTTAATATTCACAAAATATGGTTACTTATAAAATTTTAAATATAAATTTATATTCTTTAAGCCAACTATTAAAAAAAGCCAAAAATGCATCCTCAAAATTTTTGAAATTTTCATATTAATATTTCTAGCTTCAGACTATTCATTTTAAAAAATATTTATTTTTATTTTTAGTCTTCTCGGAATATCAAGTACCAGCTATGGTTCTTAAAAATGTCAAATTATATTAAATTCACTAAAAGTGAGGAATTTATACATATAAAATATAATGCAATCATAAAGTAGAGGGAGGTATTCAGGCGGAGTCAAAATTCGCTTATAATAAAACTTTATCAAAACATTATTAATTACAAATTTTACTTCGATATAATATAACACTTTATTTATTAAATTATACAATCAAAAAAAGTAAGTTGTTTATGTTTTGTTTAAAAGAAAAAAATGCAAAGAAATTAAATTCTTATCTTTTTACTCGAAAGGCATGAATATTATTTATAATTCAACATGTTATCATATATTGTTACAATATTAAATTCATTAATTTTCAAACCATTTATAAAAGTACTATTGCTTTTTAATGTAAATTTGTTGATTAACTAAATACAATGAATTTGCGTTGGGTAATCAATTGCGTAAAGAAATTGACAAAATCAATTGAATTATTTTGATTAAATTTAAATTATAAGCAGAATTTAAAATGCAAACTTATTCTTTATTTTTTCATATATTCATCAGCCTTTTTAGATCATATAAATATATAATCTTTTCGCTTATATTTTGAAAATAAAAAACATTAATGTCAAAAAAAGAAGGCAGGAAAATAGTTAAAGATCTTGATGAAAGATTTAAGGAGCAAGAATTTAAGATTGAATCTAATAACCTTTCGAAAGCTTTAACCTATAAAAGAAAAGAAAAGCATCAGGAAGCATGGGAAATAATCCAAAATCTACTTACATGTAAACAACCCATTATCCAATCTCAAGCTGAATATTTAGCAGCTGAATACTACCTGAATGGATATGTAAAAAAGGATGAAAACAAGGCTTTTGGGTTTGCAAAAAAACTTGCAGATAAAGAAGAATACATGAAAGCATTAAATATTTTTAACCAAATTTCTAAAAGAGAAAATTCCAAGTTCAAGGATAAAGCCTTAGATATGATACATAAATATAAAGGGATGGGTAACATTTAATTAAAACTGTGAATTTTTGATTGCACGTGGTTTTTTACAGTATTTTCTGAATGACCAATTGAAACTCACACATAGCGATAGTTTTCATTTGAACAAAAACTTACAATAATTAAAGATATAAATTCTAAATCAAAAAAATCAATTCATTAATCAAATTAAAGATAATTAATTAACAGTTTACTTTGTAATTATCTATTTTATTTAATAAAAACTAAATGCTATTATAAATGATCAATGTTTAAAGAAATCCAATAAAAATTTCAATTCTAAAGCAAAAAAATCAATTCATTAATCAAATTATGATAATTAATTAACAGTTTACTTTGTAATTATCTATTTTATTTAATAAAAACTAAATGCTATTATAAATGATCAATATTTAAAGAAATCCAATAAAAATTTCAAATATAAAGCCAGCGACAAGCGAAGAGATTAAAAAGATTAAAACTAGAATTAATGAATGTTAGAATTGAATTTATTCAAATTAGTTTTATAACAAAAAATGTAAAAACGTATGATAAGAAATATTCAAATAAAAGAAAACAATACAATTAAGCGAATTGACTTCTAATTATAACTAATTCTATATTTTAACAATGCATCCAAAACTATTAATACATATTATAATTTTTTTCAAAAAAATTAAATATATACAAAATGAATCCCAATAATTTCGTTTCGATTGAAGAATCTGATGTTTTTCAAAATATTGAACATAATAATGGAATATCAGTTTTTATCCCACAAGGTTACTCACCAATTCTTATTCATGAAGATGCTACAAAAAAATTGAAAACTCAAGGAATTCCCAGATCTAAATCTACGTGTTCCAGCATTGATCTTTCATCCCATTAAACGGATGGATTGGATTGATCAACTATAACTAAATATAATCAATCAATTAGCATAGCTATGCTTGCATAACTATGGCCCCATCAAGCAAAGCCCGAAGGAATATCCCTCGGGCGCCATTTAAGTCTCTATTAATTTGAAGTCCACAGCCATTGCACCTAAACTCTTTATTTCCACCTAGATTCATTTTAATATAACCACAACTGCTGCATGTTTTACTTGTGTATGCTTCCGAAACAGATGTTATTACAATTTTTCCAAATTCCTCCATTTTAGATATTAATCGCTTTCTAAAC